AAGCTAAGTCTCAAGTGGTTTCAGTGCAGAGAACGGAGATCATCCTTGATTCTAAATTGGGTAACAATGCTATTATGGAGAAAGGGGAAACCAGCGATCAGCAGTGCTCTCCTCTTGTTAATAGACCAGCTAGTGAATCAGGTATATCCAGAAGTTCGAGATCTGACATGCCTTCTGATTCCTCTGATGTGGACTCTTAAGACTCCGATCTTGAAGAAGGTGAAATTCTTAAAGATGATCAAGGGTTCCAGTTAGTGTGAAACAAAAGAAAATTCTCAGGTCTGAAGCAGTCTGGCCAGAAAGAAAACCGGGGCAGGAGCCCCAACAAAATCTGATTTTATGTCGAAGGACATTTTTTGTTGGAATGTACGCGGATTAAATAAATATAATCACCGCAGCGGATTACGTAAATGGTTTAGGAAAAATTGACCTCTTTTTGGCGGCATTCTTGAGACTCACGTGAAGCACCTCAAGATGAATAAGTTTGTGTCACAGCTCTTCCCGGGATGGTCTGCTGAAGGAAACTACAGCTTCTCTCCTCTTGGGAAAATTTGGCTTGTGTGGCACCCTTCTCTTTTAGTTAACATTATTTCCAAGTCCTTACAAATGATCACTGTGGAGATCAATTGGCCCTCTTCAACTCAGTCTACAATTTATGTCTCTGTTGTCTACGCCTCTAATGACTGCGCTGAGAGGAAGCAACTTTGGTCTGAGATCTCTTCCCTGGTGACCTCTCATGGATTGGATCAGAAACCCTGGTTAATTCTAGGCGATTTTAACCAAATAAGGGAGCCCTCCGAGCACTCGAAGCCTCCATCTCTTAACATGGATAAAAGATGCAGGGAGTTTAACGACTGTCTACTTCATTCTAACCTTGACGACCTCAACTATAGAGGCACCACCTTTACTTGGTGGAATAAGAGAAAGCTCTCGCCTTTAGCAAAAAAACTGGACCGGAGTCTAGTTAATGATGAGTGGTACACAGTTTTTCCTTCTTCTCCGGCGCTTGTTGGAAACCCTGATTTTTCTGATCACGCAGTGATCACGGTAACCCTGGAACCGGATAGAGAAAGAACTAAGCAGCCTTTCAGGTTCTACAACCTTCTGCTTAAGAACCCTGAGTTTCTTGTTATGATCTGTGAAAACTGGTACTCTTTCAACATCACAGGTTCTGCAATGTTCAGACTGTCCAGGAAACTCAAGCTACTAAAGGGGCCTATTAGGGAGTTCAGCAGGCAAAACTACTCTGGTATTGATAAAAATACAGCTCAGGCACATGACAAACTACTGGAGGCTCAAACTGTTATGCTCTCCTCCCCGTCTACAGTCAACGCTGCATCTGAATCACAGGCCTATCATGAATGGGAGGAGCTATCAGCCGCTGAAGCATCTTTCTTCTATCAGAGATCCCACATCAGCTGGTTGTCGTGTGGGGATGGAAATTCTCGCCTCTTTCATAGGTACGCTGCAACGCGTCAAGCCAAGAATCACATCCACTTCCTGATCTCAGCCACAGGGGAAAAGACTGAATCTCAGACCGGAATACAGAAGCTATGCATTGAGTTTTTTTCAGACCTCCTTGGAAGCCCCGTCTCTCCCCCGATGTTCATTCAGAGTGATCTTGACCTGCTATTCAACTTTAAATGCTCAGCAAACCAGATCGACAGCTTCGACAAAGAATTCTCTTCTGCTGATATTAAGAACGCATTTTTCTCCCTGCCTAAAAATAAATCCAGGGGACCGGACGGTTACTCAGCAGAGTTCTTCACTGACTCTTGGTCTATTATTGGTCCAGAAGTTATTGATGCTATCAAAGAGTTCTTTAGCTCTGGAAAATTACTGAAACAATGGAATGCTGCAAACCTGGTCCTTATACCGAAGAAGCTTAACGCATCCTCTACTGCTGATTTCCGGCCAATCTCCTGCCTCAATACAGTATACAAAGTCATATCCAAGCTGCTGGCTTCAAGGCTTAAGGAGATACTGCCTCTTATGGTTTCTAAATCTCAATCAGCTTTCTTGCCTGGAAGACTACTTGCGGAGAATGTGCTGCTGGCGACTGATCTGGTCAATGGTTATTACACTAAGACCGTCTCTGCAAGAGGTATGCTTAAGGTTGATTTGAGGAAAGCTTTCGATTGTGTACGCTGGGACTTCATACTTGCCTCTCTGCGCGCCTTAGCTATACCTGAAAGGTATATCTCCCTGGTATCTGAATGTCTGTCCTCTACCTCCTTCTCGGTTTCAGTCAATGGGACCTCGGGTAGTTACTTTAAGAGTACCAAAGGAATAATACAAGGTGACCCCTTGTCGCCGTATCTCTTCGTGCTGGCCATGGAGTGTCTTTCACGACTATTACTTTCTCGCTACGAATCAGGAGGAATTGGTTACCACCTTAAAACTGAGGAACTTAAGATCTCACACCTTATGTTTGCCGATGACGTCATGGTGTTCTTTGATGGAACTAGCAATAGCCTTCACGGGATCTCTGAGTGTCTAGCTGACTTTGCTTCCTGGTCTGGCCTTTACATGAACGCGTCCAAGACCGAGCTATTCACTGCAGGTTTGGACCATTGTGAAACCAATGCTATTGCTAGCTATGGTTTCTCTCCTGGTCAGCTCCCCATTAGATACCTCGGCCTCCCTCTCATGAGCAGAAAGCTAAAGATCTCTGAGTATTTGTCGCTGGTGCTTAAGATAACTGCAACGTTTAAATCTTGGTCAGTGAAAATGCTTTCTTTTGCAGGTAGACTGCAGCTGCTCAGCACCGTCATATTTGGCATTGTATCCTTCTGGTTCTCAGCGTTTATTCTCCCTAAGGGCTGTGTTAAAACCATTGAATCTCTATGCTCTCGGTTCCTTTGGTCTGGAAATATTGATAAGAAGGGCATAGCTAAGGTCGCCTGGAAAACAGTGTGCCTCCCTAAGGATGAAGGAGGTTTAGGGCTGAGGAATCTTATGGTTTGGAATCAGGTCTTGTGCCTCAAGTTTATTTGGTTGTTGCTGTCCAGAACCCCTTCTTTATGGGCAGAGTGGCACTGGAACACACACCTACACACTCACTCCTTCTGGACCATAGAAGCTTCAGTATCGGACTCGTGGGCATGGAGCAAGATTTTAGATCTTAGACCGCTAGCATTACAGTTCTGCAAGATCAGTGTTGGCAATGGCAGGAGTTCAAGCTTCTGGTATGACGTCTGGTCCCCATTTGGACAGCTCATCAAGTACATTGGTGAGGGAGGTCCTAGAGCGCTCAGGCTAAGAAAGAACGCGGTGGTTGCGGATAAGATAAGCGGCACAGAATGGACTTTACCACATCCTCGATCCGATAGGGAAGTTGATCTGCACTCTTTTCTAACTACTATTCCTCTGCCCTTACCTTTAGACGAGTCAGACAAATATGAATGGCTTGCTGGTGACTCTCCTTTGTCTGTTTTCAGGTCCTCTACCACTTGGGAAGCGATGCGTCCTCGTGAGGAAATTAAAGCTTGGAAGGATGTCGTGTGGTTTAAAGGAGCAATCCCAAAGTTTGCGTTCACTATGTGGATAGCGAACTATGATAGGTTCCCAACTAGAGCAAGACTGGCTTCGTGGGGAATACCGATCTCACCACTATGTCCTTTCTGTTCTGCTCATGAAGAAAACAGAGACCACCTCATGTTGTCTTGTGATTATAGCCTTGATGTCTGGCGTGAAGTACTGATACGGTGTAGGTCCCCAGTAGCTATGATCACTACTTGGTCTGAGTTACTCTCTTGGATTCGATCAGCATCATCAACAAGGACCACACTGCTGCGGAAGCTTGCGGTTCAAACTGTCGTCTACTACCTCTGGAAACAGAGGAACAACCTTATTCACAACCAAACCTCTATCTCCCCCGCCACTTTATTCTCTACCATTGAAAACGAGATGAGAAACATCATCTCAACTAGGAAAGATAGAAAGCACTTCAAATCTCTCATGCAAATATGGCTGAGATGAACCTTTTGTAGTCATGTCTTTTTGATTCATCTTGTTTTTTATTTCTTTTTGCCAAGATGTTTCAGGCCTAAGATTTCCTTTGTAAAATCTTCCTTTCATTCTATGATATTTACAGTTTTAGCAAAAAAAAAAACACATTCTTCGGGTTCGCTGATTCTTCGCCATTAGGAAGTATATTCATTTAAAAAATGGGACCACGTTGATTTGGATATTTAAGCTCAAGCAAACGTGGCACGGTAGTCTAACGACATCGGGACGATGTGTTAGCTTGAATGAAATTGAAACTGAGATAAGGAAGTTACAAATTTGACCAAGTGAGGGGATGATAATAGAGAAACAAAGTAGGAAAGACGCACGCAAGTTTCTAGAATTCGAAAGGATAAGAGCATCCACATCAATGAACCCCTTTTTGGGGTTCATTGATTCAATTTTTTAATATTAAAATTTTTCTATTTTCTTTTTGATTTAAAAAAAAAAAAAATAAACGAATCGCGGGCCACCACGTGTCCCGGGGCCCGCGCTACAGTAGTGAACCGGGTTCACTGCAGAGAACTCTTAGAGCATGTACATCAATGAACCCCCTCTTGGGGTTCATATGTATTGTTTATTAATTTATTGGTAGGGTCATGAATAGTGATGAACCCGGATCAATTGGGCTCATCCATTAGTGAACCTAAAGTCGGGGTTCATAAGAATAAAATAATATATTTTTTTGAAAAATAAAGTAATTTTTAAAATTGTTGAAAAGTTATTATCCATTATAATGAGAATTTTTGAATTAAAAAAAAATTTAATGGATGTTAGAAAAAAATTATTCAATAAATTGAGAATTCATTATATCTGTTGACAACATGGGCAATGGATTTTTTTTTTAATCATTTTCATGAAACAAAGTATCTCTAATCATAAGTATAGCGTGTGAGAAGCCAAAACATAGCTGAATTATTTTTCAAAATTATTGAACAACATTAGTATACTTCATAGTCTTAAACGGCTGATCAGGATAGCGAGGTACTCTATTATATCTTGGAACATACCTGTTTTATAAAATCTGCATTCAAGCAATTAATTACTACGGGTGGATCATCTGATGTTACAATTTTCCCATCATCTTGCAACTCCAACACAATCTGCAATTACACGATGCAGAGAGAATAAATGTTAAAGACTTGTCAAAGGGAGAATAACAGTGAACACTTTGTTTCAAAAGAGCAGTCCACTTACATGTTGGTTTAAAACTTGTCCATTGTTGTCTGTATCAGTGACAACTTGACTACACCTCTCATCCTTCCATATCAACACCAGAGGAGTATTCCCGGTATGATAATTTGCATGTCTGCGACAAATTTACATGAGAACTTAAGTAGATGTTGCCGCATAACTATTGGCCAGAAACAAAATGGCATGGAAAATAAAATTTATATACATCACTATTAGACATAAACTTTGTCTAACTTTGGGTTACTGAAGCAAACTAAATGGCATTCTATAAGTAGGAGAGATGAAGTGATGCACTTACTTGTTATAGAACAACAATCCATCCTTGATCGCAGTCATTGTCCCAACTCAAGATCCCAAAGTGACAGCATCTTTGCCATAGATACGTTGAAGTTCAAGGCTAGCGACTAGATATGATGCTGGAAACAGAAAATAAGTTGAACAAAACTTTACAGCTGCTAATATCTATAACTACAATGTCTTATGTTTGCAATATTACCTTTCCAGGTGTTGAAATATTTGTGGTTGATATCAGATCCTGTTACAATTTGAATAGCATCAAACAACTTCTCCTGAGGTGTATTCTTGAGCTCTTGAACAACTCCATAAATAGTCTTTCCATTCTCAAAGTATATGTGATTGTTTGGGTGCTTTGTCTTGCAATTAGCATGCTGCTCAAACTCATACGCATTAAGAACCTGTTTTGCACAGTTCATTAACATAAGACATAGATTTTGCATTAAACAGACCATTCGTATCACGTTGCTTACTTTATTAAGGTTACAGTTGCTGCAACCACATAGATACCCAGTCCCCTTTATAACTCCTTTGAGATTTTTCTGTCAAATAACCTTTTTTTTAGCAAAAGGAAGAGTAAAAGGTGAAAGGTTCCTTGTCAAGAAAGGTAAAAAGAACAAAACTGACCTCACGTGACCATGAGTAGTACTTGACAGTAACCCCATCAAACATTCTTGTTGACAGTAATGACTTAACATTCCTGTTACGCTCAACTAAATGATCTCGTATAAGCTGAGTGGAGTCCGCCTTGGTCGCAGTTATAAAAAGGAACAACACTGAACTTAAACCTATGGTAAAAAGAAGGCGGATCGCAAGCACCAGTCTCGTCAGGTTTTGACTGCAACCAAAAGAACCTGAACTCTGCTGTACATTCATAAAGCGAGTAACTCCTTCAACAAACCATATCAATCACATAATACGTCTGATCCAACTACATACAAAAAAAAAGTACCAAACCACTTAGTATATGATCAGAAACAAAGATAATCACAAACCAATAAAAGGAAGAATCTTTAAACCTCGTGAAATATACAATCAAGTATTGAATATGATTGTGCTGGACCAGAATTTTTAACACATAAGCCAATATTTTAAAACAAAATCTTTAAAAAAAAGTTCATAACCTAGATATTTTTTGAACACTGAAACCAAACAAAAAGTTATCAACTTTGTAAAGACAAAACTAAATCAAATAAGAGGGCATTACCAATCTCTGCTTAGATTCTCAGGAACATCGATCATCCACTCATGTAACATTAAATGACTCTCGAAACACTTGCGAGCTTCAGGTCCTCTGTGACTCGAAGCTTGGCGAATGTTAAAGCTATTAGCTTCCGTTTCGTTTCCGGTAGTGTCGATATCAGGCATGGGTTCGGATAGTTCTTCCGGGTCGACATCGGGGGAAGATGGTGATTGGAGAGAGATTACGGAAGAGGCGAGGTTTCGAGCTGGTTACTGTGCGTCGGAGGTGTTGAGACTGATGGAGAAGGGAAAGTTCTCGCGTTTCTGTTGATGGGAAATCCAATGGGTGCTTCACACGTGGCGTGAACCCGTATCATACGGTATCACTCCCACGAACCGGATCACAGAAAAGGCCCATTTATTTCATTTTTTTAATCCAAAAAGCAGTGAACCTCAGCCCATGAACCCCTTTAAAACTCTCACTCAATACACATGCTCTTAAGGGGCAAGTTCATTACTATTCACTATTTTAATATTTTTTTTTTTTGAAAAGTGTGTGAACCCTATCTGAAAAGAAGCTATTTATCTAACCATCTTCAAGCATGCCACAACAAATCCAAAAGACCATACAACAACAAGACAAAATTCTTCTTTTATCACACTTTCTTTATTTTCTTATTTGTCAAACTGATTTTGATGATTCCAGTCATTACCAACCAACGATTCTAAAAATCTTACTTACTACTACAGATTCAAACAGAGTGCCACAAAATCACCACGTTAGCCGTGCTACATTTACTGATTTTACAGCTTAAAATGAAGGAAATCCAAAAAAAAAAGAATACGCTCACTGTTATGAATTAAAAAACTTGGTGAAAATAGGCTTTGCAAGATTTGGTGATAATGACAATCAAAAGGATGATGAAGCTAATCCCCCCCCCCCAACCAATACACAGTTTCTTATGTCCGGTTCAAGATGTAACCAATCACACAGCCGAGCAGACCCACCAACAGCATCAACACCAAGGAATGACCACCAGACTGCTTAGTGCTTGATTCTCTCTTCAGCAACTCCTGAATACAACATCAATAGATGTTATTTTCTTCATAAAGCAAGCAAACGGTAAGAGTAAATCACTTAATCCGTACCAGTTCCTGTCGGAGCTTCTGACATTGCTGGACAGCACTAGTCTTCTCCTCTGTCAGCTTGTGAATCATGGACCATGCCTGAGCAAACACAATGATGATATTGAGATAGAAGAAGCATGTGTAGAGTGTAAACAAAAGATTGTGGAGACATTAGACCTCGGAGGATTTCTCATTTGTTTCTTCTAGCGTTCTAGACACCTGAAACAAGAATGCATATTAGCTGCAGCACTCGACAATCTCTCTCTCTCTCTCTCTCTGGGGGGTGGGTTAAAAAACAAAGAAACAAAAACTCGTTGCTCACGTGGTCATCAAGAAATAGGGAGGAGGCAGCAACGTCGGTCCTTGGAGAGTAGCCTTCTTCAGAGCCTTCGGGGACAGGTGAAGGGGGATTAGCAGGGATGTAAACAACCCTCAATTTGAAATCCTCAATCACTCTACCGGGCTCCTTGTTGAACTGCATGCATTATTATTTGCACAACCAAAAATGTAAGAAGACTAAACCGAGGAGAGGAGAATGCAAATGGGTAAACTTTTGAAAAGAGGGCAAAGACCATTTCAGCGAGAACATCTTTGGAAGTAGTAGCGTCAGAGACGATAACAGACTGAACAAGGAACTTGTCTTTGCATTGCATATCGAGAGGTGCCTCTTTCTGGGCTTGCATCGTCACTATAGGAGAACAAAACACACTTCAATCGATAGTTCCAAGAAAAAAAAAGAATGTTGAACAGTATAATAGATTAAAAGGGGGGGGGGAACCCAAGTAGTGAGTGAACACCTGTAACATTGCAGGAATCACCGGGCAAGACAACACCGGTGTTTGGACGGACACAGTATTTGCGAGGATTCGTTGTCTTGACCTTAAATGCGACAACTTTATCAGTGGTCTTGTTGGTAATTTGCAGTGAACAAGAGCTTTGCTTCTTCAACTCAACTTTCAAAACAAAAAAAAATCAAAATTCAAAATTCGATTTTTCCAATCGTCGAACAGGAATTGGAATTCAAATATCCGAACATAGTTGAATTCGGTTATTAAAATAAATACTTACAAGGAAATTTAAGCTCCGTAGGATGGATATTCACCAGATCTCCGGTCGTCATGATTCTTTTTCTTCTAGGGTTTACTCTCAATTTCCTGTGTTTTGATCTGAGCGAAATGTAATTTGCACCCAACAAATGGTAAATACCCTCTCTCTCTCTTTTTTCCCAAAAAAAAAATTAATGCCTTACAGCTTTGACGGTCACCGATTTACTTTTGTTTTTGGTCTGCGTAAACGACCGTTACGGTAGCCTTTTAAAAAAAAATAATAATAATAATGAATGAGACGCTGCGCATTACTCTTAATTAAAAATTATATTATTATTATTTAAATAAAAGAGAGAGAGAGTAAAAGAGAACAGCTGTAATGACGCGTCTCAGTTTCCAAATCCTTACATTTTCTTCTTTGGCATCTCTGATCTCGAAATCGACTGCAATCTATCCTTGTTCTCGCGGCAATGGCAATGGCAATGGCGAGGATCATCGCATTTCTCCTCTTTCTTTTCATCCTATCTTCCTCATCTCTCTCCTTCTCTCCCGCCGACGACTACCTCCTCAACTGTGGCTCCCACGTTTACTCCACCATCGATAACCGCCGCTTCGTCTCCGACGCTTCGAAATCGAACTTCTTCTTCACATCGGAAGGATCAGTCGCTCTCCAAGGAGAGCATCTTTCCCCCAACGTCCCTCAGATCTACCGGACCGCTAGGGTATTCGCGCAGCAGGCCAAATACGAGTTCAACGTCCACGAGAAAGGGACCTATATGCTACGCCTCCATTTCTATCCTATCAATTCCTCCAAAATCGATCTCAACCAAGGAGCTCAGTTTCACGTCACCGTCAACGGTCATGTCGTGCTTACGAATTTCAGCGGCGATGACTTGTCATCTAGGGTTGTTAGGGAGTTCCTGATCTGGGTCGATGTCGGGAAAGTCGTTATCAGGTTTGTTCCTAGCAAAGATTCGAAATTCGCCTTCGTTAATGCTATAGAAGTTATATCCGCGCCTAAGGATTTGATCGCTGACGTTGCCACATCTGTATCACGTGATGGAACCGGGAAGTTGAATGGTTTAGCTAAACAAGCTATGGAAGTGATGTACAGAATCAACGTTGGTGGTAGAAAAGTTACTCCTTTTAATGACACCTTGTGGAGGACTTGGATCCCTGATGATGACTTCTTCAAGGCAGCTGATGCTTCTTCTTCTGACAAAGCTTACTTCACTGGTAGGATTAAGTATAGACCCGGAGGTGCGAGCCGTGAGGTTGGTCCTGATAACGTCTACAACACTGCTCGTGTTGCTAGAAGAAGCAACGGTCTGAGCTGGGATTTCCCGGTGAGCACGGGTTACAAATATATGATCCGTATGCATTTCTGTGACATTGCTAGCAGATCACTCGGTTTGCTTTATTTCAACGTTTACATCAACGGGAACTTAGCTTATGAGGATTTCGATATCTCTTACTCTGCGGGTTACGTCCTCGCTTCCCCTTACTACATCGATTTCGTGGTGGATCCACCTTCAGGATCATCGATTATTACAGTAAGTGTTGGACCATCAAACAAGACTAGTGTTGATGAGCATGGAGTTGATGCGATGCTGAACGGTCTTGAGATCATGAAGATGAATAACTCGATGGGGAGTCTTGATGGGTTTGTTTCAACAGATATGCTTCTGAGGTCTTGCCCAAATAGAAGAAACCTGAGCATATTCATCGCCTTGATGGCGTTTATGTGTATATTTATGAGCTTTTACATTGTCGCTCAAAGGAAGAAAGTTAGTGATGGCTTCGGCTGGACCAAGCTGTCCATGGACGTCCATGAAGTTATTCCCAAGTCCGGTAATCAATTTGCAGCAATAAAGCCTTGATGATATTTGCTTGTTGGGTGATGGATGATATTACAAAACTTTTTCTTTGAGTATTTATCTACTTTGATATGATGATTTGTTCTTCTTTTTTTTTTATCAGTTTTGTTATGTTTTACAAGGGTGTTAATGTATTGTATAATTATTGTTTATATGTATATGTAACTGGTATGTTTCTTCGACAGAGAAAGACTAGAGATATGTTTTGAAATTCACGAAACAGAGCTGTTCTCTTTATGTTCAACTGTTTATACTTTTATTGATGTCTTTCAGCTTACTAGCCAAATAGCCGTAACTGAATTGATGTATCTTAGTTATCATTGTATTAAATATTCCTGTCTCCTTTGAGATCAGAGTCACATTAAATATTCCGTCCATCGACAATGTTTTTCTCGTTCCCTGAAAGTAGATCGAGCTTCGCTGGATGAACTCGGGCCAAGAAGATACCTTGCGTTGATATAACCTTGTTCAATACTACTCCACCTACTTCTCAACAACTTCAATCCGATTCCTCGAGAGATGGGACTCTCGTGATGGGCTAGCTAGAGGTGCTCCATCAGAGTGTCTATTACAGTCAACAGTGAGGGTGACGAAGGCAGATTCAAACTCTTTGATTATTTCTAACTAGTATTATGGCCCCTGCTATGCAGGAGCAGGAGCAAATTAGACGTATCAATATAAAATGTAAATACAAAAATAAATGAATAAATAAATGTAAATATTTTGTTAAAATATAAATATAAACATTCGTTATTATGACTGTTTAATGATAAAATGTTTTGATATTTATACAAATATATATTTTTTATTAATTATGATTAAATAGTTTAAGATATTTTTTTTAAAACATACATTTTAAGAAGCGTATATGTTCAAAATTTATAGCAACTAAATACATTATTATTATATTTTGCGATTAAACATATTAACCAAGAAAGAAAACGTTCATATACTAACCCATTTTCTTATTTTTGGTTTTTATTGTTTTACTTGATTTGATATCGTTTATGTTTATTTTATGAAAACTTTAAAAATATCAATGTTGAAAATAAATAAAGAAATGTTAATGGTTTCATAAATAATATTTAAACTAGGATAAGACTTGCACAGAGCGCATGGTGAGTGTATGTAATTTAAATATAAAATTTTAGTATGACAAATTTAAAATTACATATGATTGTTTTTATATGTATTTGAAAATTTAGAGTTTTATATAATTATCTATACGTAAGATCAAAAACAATTGTAATTAGAACTGTAGATCAAAACATAAAATTTAATGCGTTCGGTTCATATATATTTTCACCTTTTTAGTGTTTAATTGAGTGATGGAAAATAAACAGAGTGTCACAAGACTTACTTGGTAGAGCGTTATCAAGTTCCATAATACTTTCTTAAGAAGTACACCCTCTGTTTCAACAAGATGAACATTCTAGAAATAATATTTGTTTCAAAAAGATGTATTTTTTACATTTTCAATGTATAATTAAATGAAAAATTGTACATTCAAAAAAATTAATTGTGTTTCTTAATATTTTATTGGTTAAAATATAGGGATTTGTTATCTATAATAAATGATGCATTGGTAATCAAAATTTTATGTTTTTTTCTTAATGTGTATGAAAAAGCTAAAACGTTTAACTTTTTGAAACGGAGGGAGTAGTTGGTAGAATATTTTCATTTAGAATATATAAAATTTTAAAATTAATTTAATATAATTTATTTATTTGTCTAATAATATCTGAAAATAATATTTTTAAAAACTTTTTTAAATAAAAAAATTAAGTTAAATTTTAAATTCTAATTATTTTTAAAATAATATTTTTATTCATACGATATGGGGTATATATATATATATATATAAACATAAACACTTCTTAAAATAAAATTATTTATTCATATGATATTATAATTATTCTAACTTATTATAAAAAAATAGACTTTCATGACAAAAGTTTATGTGAGATTTTTAACAATTTTAGTAATTTATACTCGTTTTGAAAATTTCAAAATACAACATATATAAAAAAAAAATATTTTTTATTATGATTAGTGTAGTTGTGTAATTTATTTTAATAATAAAAAATTAAATAAAAATGATATAAAGTATTCAGTTTGTTAACAAATCTTTATTATTTAAAATCATTAATAGTCATATATATCTTAATCGCATTAGGTAATTCCGTAGGTTTTATTTAAGGAAAGAATATATAGGTGATTTAGTTTGATATGTTATTTAGTTTGATATGTCTTACATGAGACCATCGTACCTTATTTTAAAACTATACATTATATCACATGCTCTAGAATCTTTGGAATTTAAAATAGAAGACAAAGAACTATGCCACATAAGATTAGGGTTATTTTAATTATTACAAATTTAAGGTTATAAATTTTTAAATGATTCTCAATTAATATATGAGTTATTCTTGGGTTCACCCCCTAGGTTGAACCTATAAATTCACCATCCAATAGGATTACATTATTTCATATTTGGTATCTTTTTAAAAAGGAAAGAAAATCTTATTAAGTTATATTATGTTTTTAAAAATAAAAATATAAAATACATAAAAAATAATAATAAGTAATAAAAACGAATTAATGATTTTAACACTAAACCCTAAACTCTAATCCTAAACCCTAAACTTCTGGGTAAATTATAAACTTTTGGATAAATCTTCTAATGTTTTAAAAATTTTAGTGTTAATGATTTACCCAAGGGTTTAGGGTTTAGGATTAGAATTTAGGGTTTAGTGTTTATGATTTATACCCAAGGGTTTAAGGTTTGGGATTAGAGTTTAGGGTTTAGTATTTATGATTTATCCAAGGGTTTAGGATTTAGGATTAGAGTTTGGGGTTTAGTTTTAAAATAACTTTTTAAAAAAAAAAATTATAAAAGTTATCCAAAGGTTTATGATTTACCCTTGGGTTTAGGGTTTATGATTAGAGTTTAGGGTTTCGTGTTAAAATATTATCTTTAAGAATAATTATTTTTGATTTTTATAATTATTATTGTTAATTATTTATTTTTGTATTTTTTTTAAAAAAAACATAATATAACTTAACAAGATTTTGTTTCCTTTTTTAAAAGATATCAAATATGAAATAATGCAATCCTATTGGATAGTGAACATAGAGGTTCACCATAGGGGTGAACCCAAAAATAACTCTTAATATATAGTGGATAGCATTACAAATATTTGATGTAGAGATCCGCGAATTAAACTGAAATGTAATAATGAATCAAAAAATAAATAAAAAGGAAATAAGATCAATATCTAACCTATCCACCTCAGTTTAAAAATTCAAACTCATCATTCTTCGCCAACATCTAACCTATCCACCTCAGTTTAAAACGAAATTTTGTTTATGTAATTTTGTTTATTATGCATCTTTCACATCCTCAGGTTGGCGAAGAATGATGATCCTCTTCCAAGAGGATGACAACTAAGCAAATTTACTTTTTAAATGATGGTGGAGACAAAGAAATGATGGATCATCTATTTTGGCGGGTTCGTCCTAAGATGGAGGATCATCATTCTTCGGCAACCTGAGGATCATCATTCTCCACCATCATTTAAGAAGTAAATTTGCTTAGTTGTCATGTTCTCCGTAAGTTTATGTAATTTTGTTTATTAATCATATTTTTAATATTTATATATAATTTATTTATAAATAAAATGAATTTATATGAGTATATCATATTTTTATAAAATAAGATAATTCCTGTGAATTATGTTGTTATCTTGAAATATATTATATATATTAAACTTAAATTTTAAATTACCATATAAAATTATTGTATTTATTATATTACTAAAACAAATTGTATTAATAATTTTATAATTTTCTAAAATAAGATAATACTGATGTATTATGTTGAAAATATATTTTCCTATTATAAACTTAAAATTAAGATATAAAATTATATTATTAATATTTAAATATAAATCATCAAAACAATTATTTGAAAAGTGAATTTGTTGATTTGTCTCCTTGATCTTAGGTTATTTTGTTCATTTATCAGAATTTCTCTTATTTTGTTTATTATTGATTATATAATTAAAACTAATTAATATTAATAATATGATAATAATAATTTATTATGTTGGTTTTTAAATTAATGAAACATCAACTAATCGTCTTATTTTTGTTTCTGGGCCTAAATCGTTTTAGTCTCCAATGACTTATTCGCTCCTCTGCAGATTGAGACAACAAGGAGACGAAGAAGAGGAACAAAAAGAACAAGAAAGGAAGCTACGAGGAGGATTTGATTAGGTTCTTGAGTGAGTCCAGAGACGCCAATGGCAGTGGCAGCTGCGTCCCAGTTCCTGATGTTTGGTGCGGTCCAGGACTAGGGTTCTCGACGGATGCGGTGTCGATGGATCCTCCGAGGAGAAATCTTTCACCGTCACGTTTCAAAATCGACGTGGACAAGAGCTGTTCGAACATAACATAGGTAAAGGTGGTAGCTTTATGTTCTGTATATCTAATTGCAAGTTAAAGTTTGAGTCTTTTTTTGTGGTGTGTTTAGTTTTATTACATTGATTTGTCTCAGTAAATAGTATCGGTTTAGGCAGAAACTGTTTGGAGTGGTTGGAGCTATAGTCGTTGTAGCATCCTTATGTTGTTCCTGGGGACCAACAAACGTCATGTTGATCTGGTTTGCTCAAACGTCGTTCTAGCGACTTAACATCTACTATAATGGTTCGCCAAATTGATCTGTTTCATATTAGATTTAGGCTTCATTTTAATGGTTTTTCTTGCTGTAGATATTATGGAGGTTGGGCTGCCACCAACATCTACTTTCTAGGTTATGCAGGTGTTGTGAAGTTTGGTAATCTGCGTATTGGAGCCCTTTCTGGAATTTACAAGGGAAGAGATTGCCTTTTAGCTTTTGTTTTTAGTCTCTCATATTAAGAAAGATACTCCAGCTTTTGATTTATGAGTTGTTTTTGTGAGTAGGCCACCATATAACAATAGCACCAGTAAATCGGTCTATCATGTTTGACAATATGATGTGCAGATGCTGATGCAACTTGTAGAGCCGCTTGATATCTTCCTCTCACACGACTGGCCTGTTGGAATCACTGATTATGGAGATTCAAAAGCACTTATTCAGCAAAAACCATACTTCCAAGAAGAGGTAAAAGCAATAATTCTAATCATTTTGGTATTGAGATTTGAACCAAATCTATTACAGATCAAGGAAAGAACTCTTGGAAGTAAACCAGCAGCTCAACTGCTAGAGAAACTGAAGCCTCGGCATTGGTTTTCAGCTCACTTACACTGCAAATTCGCTGGTGCTGTTCAACACAGGAACGATGATTGCTCAGGGACTAAGTTTCTTGCCTTGGATAAATGCGGTCCAGGTAAAAAAAAATTTACAGGTTCTTTGTCTTCTGATTCCCTCCACCTTATGCTTTGTTCTTTTCAAGCAAATGATATCTTATAAGTTCTTTGGATGTGAATTCGATCATTGAAGTAGAATCAGAGGGTGGACCTTTTGAAGTTTTATACGATGAAGAGTGGTTAGCAATAACATGGAAGTTCAATTCTATTTTCCCGCTAACACATACACCAGCGAGTTTCAGGTATACTATAGCAAGCTACCTGCTAAGATATGTTTATATTTATGTAATCACTTTGTTTGAAAATAGCTCTGTGACAATGAATATACAAGAGAGCCACGAGTGGGTGAGAAAGAACCTAGAGGAAAGGCAATTTAAACCTTTAGAGTTTGTATAGACGGTCCCTGCTTATAACTCTAATATGAGTCGATGTTGCTAACGTAACGTGATTCGTGTTCTCTCACTGATACTGATTTATATTTACTCTAAACAGTGGCTTGAATCGATCGATTCAGCGACGATGATTATCACCCGGAGACAAGCTTCTTCTCAGAGTTAGGGGACCTCCACTTTCTTTGATTCATGTCTCTTCCTCTGATCCTTTGCCTCACCTTAGTATCAAAAACACACCAATCGTTAGTCACTCTCTATAAAGATCTCGCCTTTATTAATTCTGGTTGGTGGAAAGTAACGGTGTTATAACGTTCTTGCAGGAGACATCATCTGCACAGTTTATACGTCAACGCACAGCTGCTTCCAGTGGACAGGAGCTTCAAAACTCTATAATAAACGCTTATGGGGAAGCTAAAGATGATCACTTCTGAGCTTCAGACCGTGGCAAGAAGTGTAACCGGACGAACCCGTCCAAGGCTGAGAGTGGAGGTTTCGTTCTCTAGCAGATAAATCTATACATATATATCGACAGTTTTGTAATGTTCTCTTCTTCTATTTGGATCATTTGATTTGATGTTTCTGCTTATGCTTATTGAGAGCCATTTTTGGTTTCCTTAAAGTTATGCTTAATATCATGTTACATGAGTTGCAAGTTATCAACAATTCTGAGAAAACTATTACTTACTCTTAAATTTGACACTGAATCAAGATTTTTAAAAAATCACTTTTGAGGTCCTTCTCGTTAATTTACTGGGCTTGCCAACGTTTTTCACTATGAGAATGAGATGATCCCAATGACTTAATAATGCTTTCAGGCAGAGAAAAAAGGAGACACTATCTTTTTGGGCAAAATACCTATTAAGTGGTACTGAAACAACTTCAGTTTCACTTGAGATAAAATGAAAATAGAAGCTTACGAATGTTTTCTATGTTGAAGTCATTGACAGTTGCATTTATATGTTTAGAAAAACTCAAAAGGAGTCTAGGCAGAGGAAAGAAAGACGAACATAATATAACAAAATGGTTTTGCAAAGATTCAAAAAATAAATTAATTGGTCTATTTTATATGATTTTTTTATAGGGATACAAAAATATTTTTAGTGTCATAAAATTATTCAGACATAATAATATATAACATTTCACAAAAAATATACTCAAATAACTAAAAAGGTAGATACAAAACAAAATAGAGACATTAGAAAAATAAAACAACTGTTACATGCAAATTTGTTTGAACCTAACAACCAGAACATTACAACAATAGTTGTATATCTCAAAATTGTCTCACAACAAATTGTAGGCATGGACATTTGAATACATATTCACTTAGTAATTAATCCCAATGGCATCTACCACCAATATAAAATGTATCAAATAGCTTACATTTTCCAATTCCCGTTACTCTCACCCAAAGTATATAGTATTGTATACACAACAATTTCTTAATATAAACACAACCATCAAAATCTAAAATAATTAATTTTAGTATTTGTAAATTTTTTACACCCAAAAATACTTTAAACTCATCAACATTATTACACACTCCTGTTATAAATCATAATATGAAACACATACAATGAAAATATACAATTATATAGTAATATATATCACACGAAAATCATATCCCGCGCGAAGCGCTGCCAGCCCTAGTTAACTATAGGGTTAATTTGCCAAATAGCTAAAATGTGAAGGGAAATTAAGTGGATGACTTTGATTTTGACATAATGTAATCAATAACATTTAGCATTCTTTTTGTCCGGTTATACCCTCTATTAATATAAGTAGTCGGTAAATGAAACAGTTAGATGACGTTTAGGAACTTATGTGTGGTCAACAATTAGTGCGTACTATTGAAAATGACGACACTATACTATTTGGCTGATATGGAATAGAACAATCCGGTTTAAGTGTGGAAATAAATGGAATACACTATTTATTGCAAAACGTTAACTATATCATAACTCTTAACCAACGACACGTAAATACTAAATCCTGAACCCTAATCAGTAAATCATAAACCCTAAATCCTAATTAGTAAATCTAAACCCAAACATAAACCAGAAACCCAAATATAAATCATAAATCCAAATAGAATGGAACAAAATATATAGCATAGTATATATTGGCGAAATTCTGAAATGTCTATGAAGTTAATGTTGTCCCAACCATACCTCCTTACCTTCAAATACTATACTCTAATCACTAACCCCTAAACTCAAACATAAATTCTAAACCCAAATATCAAAAATATAAAAAAATACTTAATCTTATGTAACATTAAGTTTTATTATGTATTATTAAACTGTATAATAAAGATCAGAGTCTGATTTACATGTTAAAAACATGATAATTAGAACTTGAGAAAATTACAAGCTATATTTCTAACCAAAATAGAACACTCTTTATTAATGGTCAAATGAAACGGAACATGATAAAATAGTATAGTAATAGAATATAACGTATTACATAACATAACATGAATAGAATACACATAATACATATTATTTTACATTTCTATTCTATATGCATAAAATAGTATAGAACACAATTTACCAAAAAATTGTACAACTTTGGATCATTTACAACGTGACACCCTAGCCCACCGCATACATCCACCCCTGACTGTTGCAAACATGAATATTTCCACTTGAGTTTTTGGTTCCATAATGGAAAGAAGATAATGGTTCGGATGGCGTAAACGATCATCTCCAACAATCCTGTTGTCGTTCATGTCCTCTCACGTGAGAACAGAAAAGAGAACGTGCCAAAAGCTATATTTTTTTGTCATCATCCATCCTGAATCCTGATACATATATACACTTTAATGTTATCAGATGAGATCAATTTAAATATGGGTATACAATCTTATGCGGTTGCTATCAAACTCTCTCATTGACACTCAACCTTCCATTGAATCAAACTATGACAGTTGCAAAGTCCCATTGTTTTCTTCCAAAGAAGAATAAGAAAATTACGATGAGTTCTCATAACTTGATCAATAGCTATTCGTCCTTATAATACCGAGTATGTAATATGAGTGTGTATAAGTAATGAGTTTAAATGGAGAAATTCAAAACAAGAATGATTTTACTGTCACATAAAGTTAAATTAACACAATGACTTTAACTGATATAAATTGGAAAAAGAAGTGGAAAGAAAAAAATAAAAAGGGGAAAAAGTAAAAATAAAATTACAAGTAAAGTTTTCTTATGTTTTAAATAGAGAAATCTTACTCTAAATTATCCATTTTGGAATAAATAAGCTATATTATTTTACACTTAATTGGCTAAAAATGGAGTGATTTAGTTGAAAAGTATTTATTCTAATTTATTTACTTAGGCATATTAAAGAAAATATTCAACATTTTCTCTGTCAGTGCAATTTTTTTTTTTAATTTTAACAAAAATTAAAGAAAATAAATTTATAACAGGTAATACCAAAATATATTAATATTCAGATACGAATTCTAAAATAATCTGAATCTAATTAACATAAATGGAGAACAGGCTACGCCCGGAGAATATCTCTAGTAGCTATATAATTAAAAAGAAAAGCAACCACTCACCAGAGTTGTTAAAAAATAAAAGACCAATTAGCGTTCATGAACCCATACTTTTAGATGTTATTTCTTCCTTTTCAAGACAGGTTTTGTTGGTAATTTGTTTCCAATCTGTAGATGATTCTTATGATGGTTTGATCATGCTGAAAGATGATTCTTATGCTGGTTTGATCATGCTAAAAAATACAACTCGTAAAGGTAAGCTTGATTTTTTATTGGATTTAAAGATTTTCAAAATGAACTGGAATAAGAAACTGATAGAAGTCAATATGAAAACCATCATCCTTCATTAACAAAAGAAAATAACCAAACTCACCCTTATTTTTTAAAGGATAATGAATGTGTTTCAAATTCTTTCATTTCAGTTTCGGCTTCGTCATCTCATTGATGTTAGTGATTCCATAGTGATTATTTTGTGAACCATATATGATTAGGAAGAATAAAGAATGATGAAAGTGATAATTGACGTGGTTAGTGGGTATGTAACCGTCAAAACAGTTTATTTGTTATTAATTATTTTTCTGACCAACTAAAATAATTCCTGAAATTAATAATTTGTACAAAATTGTTAAAGACACGTGTCACTCACAGAATTATCAATTGACTTTTGTTTTAGATAATAAAAGCTACCAAGAAAGTCATGGCTTGGGGATCAGATGGAAGTAAGGTTTTTGAGACTTCAGATAACGAAGGAACATATTTGTCAAACAAATCAATAACACCCCTGAAGCCCTTGCTGCTGCTAATCTCGAAAGGCGAACTCACCATGCCGTTGAGAATTCGATGCCAGCATATTATTCAACTCTACAGATTGGATTACGATGATTATTACCTCTACTTGAGATTTCAACCGTGGACATGTACATTGGGTGAGCTCATTAGAATCTGGGCAGCCAACCGTGGACATGTACATTGGGTGAGTTCATTAGAATCTACGCAGCCAAAGACACCGTCTCTCACGGATACGAATAAGTGAGATGGAGAACCTTTTTAAACATAAAAGGTTTTGGGAATGGAATGGTCAACCTTCCCCTCTCCTCATTGGTCTCATAAAATAGATGGTTATGGGGGTTTTTGAACTCCACTGTGCTGAATTTGTACATAGAGACATCACTCCAGACAGAATAAATAAAAGTACATAAATGTTCATATACTAACCCATTTTCTTATTTTGGTTTTTATTGTTTTACTTGATTTGATCTTGTTATGTTTATTTTATGAAAACTTTAAAAATATCAATGTTGAAAAGAAATAAGAAATGTTAATGGTTTCATAAATAATATTTGAATAGCATTAAAAATGTTTGATGTAGAGATCCACGAATTAAACTGAAATGTAATAATGAATAGCTATAGAATTAAAAAGAAAAGTAACCACTCACTAGAGTTGTTAAAAATTAAAGATCAATTAGCGTTCATGAACCCATACTTTTAGATGTTATTTCTTCCTTTTCAAGCCAGGTTTTGTTGGTTATTTTTTCCAATCTGTAGATGATTCTTATGCTGGTTTGATCATGCTGAAAGATGATTCTTATGCTGGTTTGATCATGCTAAAAAACACAATTCGTAAACGTAAGCTTGGTTTTTGATTGGCTTTAAAGATTTGCAAAATGAACTGGAATGAGAAACTGATAGAAGTTAATATGAAAACCATCATCCTTCATTAACAAAAAGGAAAAAAAAACTCACCCTCATCTTTTTAAGGAGAATGAATGTGTTTCAAATTCTTTCATTTCAGTTTCGGCTTCATCATCTCATTGATGTTAGTGATTCCATAGTGATTATTTTGTGAAAGATATATGATTAGAAAAAATAAAGAATGATGAAAGTGGTAATTGACGTGGTTAGTGGGTATGTAACCGTCAAGACAGTTTATTTGTTATTAATTATTGTTTTGAGCAACTACAAAAATTTCTGAAATTAATAATTTGTAAAAATGTTAAAGACTTGTGTCACTCACAGAATTGTCAACTGATTTTTGTTTTATATAATAAAAGATACCAAAAAAATCATGGCTTTGAGATCAGATGGAAGTAATCAATTGACTTCTACTTTATATAATAAAAGACTAGGATAAGACCCGCGCCTTGCGCGGGATGGAGTTATTATTTTTATTATGTTT